CACATATGCTGATTCGCTCCCACTCTTTGCGCTCTGGTGTAAAACTGACACGGTGATTAGCCGGGGGCGGGTGATGACTGTGGAGAGCTCATGGAGGTTTTCTCCCACCTGACTTAACATCCTCCCCTCTGTTTCCCCAACAGCATGGCAGCAGCACGCATCAAACACACGAGTAGAGCATCGCGCTGAGAGATGCATATTCCTGGGACGCCGGTGGAAGTGCAGAAATCAAAAATCAGTCGGGATCAAAGAAAGTTATTTTGGCAAGACTGCCTGCACGAGCGGCCGGTAGCAGCACAGACAGCACGTTCCCTTCCTGTCAAAAAGTATACTTTTATTGCGATACATTTGATATATTAAAGCTTACATTTTGACAGCTTCCTTCTCAATGTCTTTACTCTATTCAAGATCTACAACAAGCAGAGAAGTAGGCCAATAAGAGAAAATAAATGTTGTAAAAGTTTCATGTATGTAAAATGAAGCCAGCAAGGAACAAGGGCAGCACATTAGCGTTAGCTGGATCTGTTGCAATGCTTCTCCTTATGTTACAATGGTTAAAATAACGTTTTTGTTACAATGGTATCGAAATATTTTAACAAACAATAGTGTTTGGTGTGGACTGGTACCTGAGAGGTGACAGTTAACCTCTTAGGTCCTGCCGAGGTGTACTTGAGCTGAGCAAGGCACCGAACACCCAAACCATGGGCGCTACTATGGCAACCTCTTTGCTCTGACACCTCTCCATAAATGCATGTATTTGTGATGGTGTGTATTTTGGGCCCTATATGTGTGTGTGTCTGTACTGTAACTAGTTAACAGCAGAGTGAAAAGTGAACTCTAGGGAAATAATAAAGTATGTCTTCTTCTATTTACCAGTACCAATAAACACGGTAAGAAGATATAAAGCGCTTACGTACATGTTAAGATGCATTACAAGAAACGATTACTTCTGGCACTTATTCAACTACTCAGGCCTTAATGAGCCTTTCTGCAGTGCTGTATGTGCCTGAGAACAGATTATATAGGCAGGATATATAAGAAGCTACAAAACAGAAAGCGCCCGGAGACAAAACCGAAGCTGCTGGAGAATCATGTCCTACTTTCGTGGAAGAATAATCGCCTGCTTCTGCTACGCTGCTGCACTGGAAGAGAAATGAGAAGGGGGGGGGGGGGAACAGATTTGATAACGGTTCCTAATTACCACCACTAAAAAGAAGCTGTGTTTCTGTGAGTGCAAAAATTATCTTCACTTTTGGACTATGTTAGGCTGACTGTAAAAGGAGAACAGGCTTATTTCACTAATGATTTAACCACGGCTGTGTCTGTTTCTCTGGAGAATGGCTATGCTAATCCAAAAGTCTGATTCCACTCTGGAAAACATTTACAGCTGTCTTTTTGCGTTATGTGAAACCATGAGTTTTATTCCAAAATGGGACAGACTTTGATAAAAAAAAAAAAAGGAAAAAACCCTCAATGAAAGGGAGATAATAAAATCATTGTACTCCATAATGAGTTTCAGCTTCATTTCAAAGATTAACTCCCATGAGTTGCCATTCATTGTCTCTTAAAACTTTAAAGGTCCCCTATTATACTGTTTTTCATCAATATATTATAGGTCTCAGTTATATACAAAACATGTCTTTGAAGTGTTTGGCTTCAAATACCAAACAGATCATTGCAGCATTACCCATAATCCCCTCTGTTTCAGCCCTGTTTCAAAAGTGCTGATTCTCTGTCTGTTACTTTAGATGAAAATAAGGAGCCACTCCCCACGCCCCTCTGAGAGATATTTGGTTACAAACAACACAATGGTGCTCTAGGAGGAGATTCAGGTGATAAGGTGGGGGGGGGGTTACCTTGGTTGCTGATTGGCTAATGGTTACACAAGCCAAAACATCGTTATGACATCATAAAGTGGCCAAAATTTGATCAGCTCATTTTCAGACAGGTTTTTATATAAATGGATCAGGACAAAAAGTGAGAGAATCTTTTGTCCTGAAACTTTCAGAATCTCTTTACAGAGGGGACACATGTTGATGTAGAAAAGACATGAAAAAGTGGATTTTGCATGATACTGTAGGTGACCTTTAAGTAAAAAAATGATCCACTCCAGAAAGAGGTTATATAAATAGTAGTGGGGTAAGAGCCAAAACAGCTGCGTGGACCTGACCTACATCATGAAAAACTATTTTTTTGTATGGGATGGCAGGTAGCTATAAAAGAAATCATAATAGTAAACAAAAACGACAACAAATCCCTCCCACAAATCTGTATTTTCAAGAAGCTAGTTTTGGACAGAAAGACAGTTTTCACTTGTTTTGCAATGGGAGCAGTCATTCCTCTTAGAGGCTTTGAGGAAGATGATTAGATGTGTTGGGCCTAGAAACGGCTGCTGGCATCAACAGCTTGGAGAGCAGTACCACATCATCCAATTACATTGAACACAACACCTCCCTGCTCTTAACTGCCAAGTGCAAAACAAACCAGCGGCAGCAGCAGAAACTAATGGAGAGCAGAGGAGGCGGAGGCAGCGGGAGAGAGCTAATGCCATCCTCCATGTGACTCACACTTCCAGGTGAAACGCTCAGTGGGCGAAGTCAAGAAGCTGCCTGCAGGTCAAACGCTTTGAACGAAAGAGCGAACATATGCTTTGTAGAGAATTTCACCTCTGCCTTTGCCTGACAAGCATTTGTTATCCTCCTCTGTTTCTCAAACCAGCCTGAAACCATGTCAGTTTGTGCATGTGTGTGTGAAATCGAGCCTCATTAAAAAATGAACATTTCCAAAAATAGGATTTCACACACTTCCTGGTTGTGAGGGGGAGTTTCGCTGGCAGCCAGTGATTTCTGCTGACTACATGTGTTCTTTTACATGAGATGAAATAATAATGGACATGTGCAATCATCATATCCTCCAATGAGGCTAAATAATTATTTTAAATAAAACTTGTCGCCTCAATATTTTTAAGAGTTTACTAATCTAAAAAAATATGGCTGCACTTTACATCCTTAAACCTATGGTAAGGACTTTCTTTCCATGTATTTCTTGTCCATCCTACACTATGCATTGTACTAATAAGGTCCTAAACAATTGCACGTTATTATCTTCCAATACACTTCAAATTGAATGTGTGTGTGTGCGCCTTCAAGGCTTCAAGAAAAAGCTAAAGAAACAGAACCAAAGAGAAAGTAGTTGTTCTGATGTTCAAGTGCAGCACATCAAGTACCTGTTGTACACACACACACACACACACACACACACACACACACACACACACACACACACACACACACACACACACACACACACACACACACACACACACACACACACACACACACACACACACACACACACACACACACACACACACACACACACACACACACACACACACACACACACACACACACACACACACACACACACACACACACACACACACACACACACACACACACACACACACACCACACACACACACACACACACACACACACACACACACCACACACACACACACACACACACACACACACACACACACACACACACACACACACACCACACACACACACACACACACACACACACACACACACACACACACACCACACACACACACACACACAAACCTGCTGAGACACAACAGCACAGATGGCTGCTTTCTACCCAGCTGGCACTGGGGCATGAGGAAACAGAGATCATTAGAGAGGTAATAGGTGCATGGCAATGTTAGCAAAGGTAGGAAATAAATGCTCAGAAGTTCAAAAAGGTTTTCAGTTTCAAGCTGCAATAATTAAAATTGTCATATTGACAACGAATGCAATAACTATGTGGAAGTGATTGGCCTCAGTGGGAAACACATTGGGTTTTAAAATAGTTTTCCTAACCTTTTTTCCAGCTCATCCAGAACTACAAGGACTTTAACTCGGGCTAGGAAAACTGATCACATCGCACTGATCATTGCCACTTTACACAATCTGTCAGCTCTTTTAAGTCACTTTAAGACTTTTTTAGAATTGCTATTATGTGACTTGTTTTTCATTTGTTTTACTCTGTGTTTGGATGCTGTTGTTTAGTTCATCTAATTATTTATCATCATGTGTTTTTAACGGTGTTCTGTTTTATGTGAAATCACTTTGTGCATATGTTTTGAAAGGTGTTTTATAAATGAAGTGTATTATTATTATCATAAATTAAATAAATGTTAAATGCTGCACTTGTATATTTGTGAGGAACGCTATCAATTTCTCACTGACATTGTTGACATTGACCTCTGACCTTAAGTGTGCATCGAACCAAAACATTGCTTCCACTAAACAGTAAAGGCTTCTGACAATATTTAAGCTTAATTTCTCTGTCCAAATAAAATAATAAATAATAAATAATAAATCCAAAAATGGCCGTTATAAGCACCATGTGTGAGGACACAGAAGTTAAATACAGACATAACATCTAATATCCAATCAATAGTCCACAACAGACATTAGCTGTAGAGCTTCTCCTCTCTCCATCTAGCTATTCAGGACATTAAGAATCCATTAAAACCACTGCAGCTGTTAAACCATTATTATATATTATATGCATGGGGTAAGTTGTTTTGAAATCACTAATAGGAAAAATGCAGTGCTTGTAATGGATATCACAGCCTGTCAGTCATTACGTTGGGAACACTGGCTTCTTGCATACAGTGTTTGTTTTGCTAGTGTTGCCATACTAATGTGGAATCAGCAGAATAATGAAGCGCAGCAGGAGAGACCGAACGCAGCATGACTCTGGTCCACAGGGAGCGACTCAACTCTCTTGGCATCAACATGTACAGTCATAAAAGGTGTATGTTCACAATTCAAATCGATGGCATGCATAAAAGGCACCAAGCAGCGACTTTAGAGGATAAATCCAAGTGTTGCCGGTTGGAAAGTCTGACAAAAAGAACCAAAAGAAGGGTTTGAGGACATACAAAACACAGCTGGGCAAACAGACACAAGTGAACTCACAGTGCAGGGAATCAAGCGGCAGCCATGGAGTCCCAGCTGCTGACGGAGAGAGCACCTACTGCTGGATCCTGCAGACGACAGAGAGGAAAAGAAACAGAGGACAGACAGAGAGAGGACGATATCCAAGAAGAATGAAGAGGGAGGGTGAAACAGAGAAGGAGGGAGAGAAGAAGAAAGAGCATTTTGTTAGTTTGTCTGATGCAAGTGGGCCTGAGGAACAGTGCTGCTCACACTCTTGATAGGATATTTCTTGATATACAACAAAACAATAAGTGCCTAAAAGTTTCCAGTGGGAATCAAATATAGTTTGTTTATGTGAATTATTCATGTTCCTACACTCGCAAGCAGCAGTTAACAACAGATACTGTAATAATTACTCATGTTACTAAAAGATAAATACATTTATAGATGACATTGTTCCTGCTACAACCTCAAACAACTTCACTTGGTGTTGTTGGAGACTGTTTGATTTCAAATAACTTCAAATGTTCAGAATTATTCGCACATACAATTCACATATTTAGTTTGTGACAAAATCACTAAAGAAGCAGCTGAGACGTATATTCTCCCCACAAACATCTAAAGACAATTTCTACCAAAATACAGGAGACCACATTAAAGCACTGTTACGAAAGTAGGTGCCCTAACTGTTCTTCAGAAGACATCACTCTCTGGTCACTGTGATTCATACACAATGTTCCTCTCTGTTGAGTGGCATGCAAACATCTATCATGTCCTGTGAGCTGAAAATAAACTGGACAGCGACAGTTCTTCTAATCCAGTTGGTGGATTTATTGCCGCCTGTGAAGGGAGGACATATTTTCTGTCAATGCATGGAAACTGCTAAGCTCACTCGTGTCCTACTTTTGCTCTATTAAGATCTGTTTGATGTATATTTGGAGACATAATAGGTGGCCTTATGAGTGTTGCTATGCAACCAAGGGAAACTTCAGAAAGTAAAAGTAAAAACCAACCCACCCCCCGTGTCAGATCTAAAAAAGAATGTTTTGCATTAATTCATCTGAGGACAAAGCATCTTGTTGATGGATAAAAATAGCCAGTCATCTCAAGAGGCATGATCTTTTTTATGAGCATATTTATTTGCTTTTTAAAGAGCAAAATTGCCTTTCAAAATGGGATATCTAGAGACAATTCTTTGAGGTTCGGCAGCGAAAAAACTGTGATAAAACCGCTCTAGTGTGGGGGCTTTGAAAATGGCTTACTGTGGATTATTCTGACTAACTTGGTATGAATGTGTGTTTTTATGTGTTTTTTATATTTCTTGTGTTTTGTTGCTTGATCTTTGTCTATGTGTGCATGAGGGACAATTCACATGCAGACTCACGGGTTCAGTAGTATTCCCATAACAGTTCACTTGTAGTGTGAATACATAAACACTTGGTATGACACAATTACATTGTAATAGCTTTATGTGATGATCATGTCAGTCTCTTATGCAACCTTCATTTATATGCAGAGCACAGTGATCCAACCTCCACAGTTTTAATGACTTTTAATGACATCTAATGAACATTTCTGGGCAACTCTCAGGCACAGAAAACAGTTTATCCTGCTAAATTGGCTATTAGTTAGGGGGAAATAGGGATAGGTTTAAAAAAAAAAAAAAAAAAAAGGGAAATCTAATTTGTGTAGCTCTGGCCATCATTTATATTGGTGATCAGTTAATTCAACAACTTAATTGCCGAGATACAGGGTATGGAATGAGTTGAGTAGGGTACTAAACAAAAAAAAAGTGGAAGAAAAAGTTATAACTGCAACAAAGTTTCAGGAAATATTGTTAAATGGTCAGTTTACAATATGAGTGATCATCTTATATTTCCTAGTGCCTGCCCTAATGTTATTTTTTCAAGTGGTGTCACCATATGACATAAAACAACTTAATCACTAAAATCATAATGGTCAGAAATGACACATGGAAAAATAAAGTTTGGTTAAAATGTCCCAGTAAAAGGTTCAGAAATCACACTCCTATGTGATGAGTATTGCTTTGGATAAAAGCGTCAGCTAAATGCAATGTAATGTAATGAGTGTTGACCCTGCCTATGTGTCCTGCTAATAGTTGGGTGATAAGCGCCATGAAAAGCAACATCAATAGGTGTGATGCAGTTAGGACCCTTTTTATAAAATAAAAGGATCAGGAATACATTTTCTAAAGGTGAAACTTAACAGCAGGATCATACACCCTTTACCCTGGAAATGTTTCAATAATTTCATTGTAGATCACCACTTGGCTCCATGAATAGATGGCTCCATCCCACACACTCCAACAGCATTACAAACCTGTGAGCAGCCCAAAGAAACCAACTCCAGGTGACCTGACCAGATCATATGGAGCAGTTTGCGAATAACTGGCTCAGTGGACGTATAACAGAAGACCAAAATACTGAATACAGGTTGTATTTGTTTATTTCCTGGGCCTACATTTAAATCGTTGGCACCTTAGTTAGTCACCACTCTGTTGTGGCAGCATCCTCAGTATCAGCCCAACACTGTCAGAAGACCTTCAATTAAAGTGTGCCGTTTGCAGGTGCCACTGCACACATGTCCCTGCCTATGTGAACTTAATTGACCACCATCCCTCCCTCCTACCTGGTAAACAACAGCTGCTTCCAGCGGTCCATCTGCTACCTGTGAATTCCCTTCCTCAGGACTCACACCCCCTGCACGCCATTGGTGTTTCCCCTCCGAGAGGTGTACTTACTGGGACAGCATGAGTGAGTGTTGCTGCTCGGCCACCTTAATAACAGTTTGTGTTCCCCACTGGCACACGACGGTAAACAGGCTTTTAATTGACTGTCTGTGTTCTTTTTTAACAAAGCATTACTGGGTGGCGTGAACAGAAATGTTCAGTTTACTTCCATGGACGTTTTCTGTGAAAGCTATTTTTAATGTTTTTTGTGTTCAAGCAATAATCTGTTTTTTTTCAAGCAGTAAACTGGGTATTTTTAGCAATCATCTGGACAGTAACTAAATAATGTATTGTGATTTTGATTCTAAAGTCTGATTAAAACATCAGAGATAAATGTTCTATTAAAGTGCAGTCTAAAACAGATGATATGGATACCGAACCTGCTTGAAATAAAATTAACTTTATTTTTAGCTAAATGACTGTGGCATACTGTCCTGTACATCTTCAAATTATAATGATGGTATTTCTTTGACACAGTATGATCATAATTAGCACTTATTGGTTATCATCTTTGAGTTTTATAAATAGTTTCACCTAACTCCCAGATCACCTTGACCTTCCCTAAATCCATGGCCAGATTCTGTGAGAATAAATTGCTGACTCACTCATTACCACAGAGAGGCCGAGCTGATAACACTCAAACAGGTAAAGGACAGGTAAAAAGTCAAACTAAAAAACTAGCCAGAAACACAAACACAGCGACCGATACTTTGAGAAAGTAATGTAACCTTAATTGTGCGTAACATGTTTTTGAAATTGGGATTAAAGTATAATGACTCCATCTATCACTCATACAAGCAAAACAGTTCAGGTGACCACATCCACTGAGCTAGACAATGACTGCATGTGTTGTTTGCAGGTTACTCTATTAACGGTATAAACACCACATCATGCTAACTGCAACTTCCCTGTATTTCTTTATGCAATTTCAGCATACTGAATGATCCAACACACATGAATGTTGTTAAGAAGAGATTCAAAAAGCATCACTGAACTTTAGGTAATAAACTGTTATTTTTCTCTCAGTTTTACCCGTCATTCTGCAATAAATGTAAGTCTTAAGATGTAAGACCTGTGTTTTTCCTAACTATGGCGTGTTGGATATAGTTTAAGACTGTGGTTGAGTACAGAGACAAACAGGAAGCTTTTACACAACAACAGGGTTCAGTGGAAGACCACAGGCAAATCATCACTTAAAACTGAGCATACAGCAAAGTCGACGCCACTCAGACAAGGACAATGTCACCACCGGCTGTGACTGACACTGAACTCAGATCAGTCCTAAAGACAGCTTCATGAATATGCATGCACTGTCCCTTCCAGTCTTCAGAATGGCTGTTATGCTCGGTCCTCCCATCTTATTATAGCTTCCTGTCATTCTGCTCTACAGTCTTTTTGTCTCCATAACAACCACCAAAATCCAATATCCCAAATATTCGGCATTTTCAGAGACAGGCTTGTCACTGCTGATGGGGAGAGAGGCTCCACTCTGACAACTGCGAAAGTAACTTTTATTAAAGGGGCCCTATTATGCCCATTTCCAGGTTCATATTTGTATTGTGTGCCTCTACTTATAATGTATCTCACATTGCCTGTGCTGCAGCACCTCTTTTCACCCTCTGTCTGAAACCAGAGCCCAGTCTGCTCTGATTGGTTAGCTGACCGGCTCTGTTGTGATTGGTCAACTGCTTGGAGATATATGGCCCCTTATTCTATAACGTACAATGTGCTGGAGTGATAGCCAATGGAAGCGTGAGTGGTAGATAGTGATGTCACTATGTTATAGAAGTAAACTAAGGAGTCGAATGGAGGTATTTGAGGCAATTCACACGGACAGGTCAGCTACAGAGGGAAAATCTGAAATTGCCTAGTCAGAAACGTTTTCACAATTTCATTGTTGTTGTATACTCGTAACAGTAAATTGTTAGGATTAATCATGGAGGTATTTCTGAATAATTTGAAACCGTGGTTTAGGGTTGTAAGGACTGCTTTTCATTGGCATACAGAGTTTCTCCAGAGTTGGCAGAGGATGGTTTTCGAATGCTTTTGTTTCCGGGTGATTAATATTGTCCCCTCATAAGGGAATAAAGGAATTACCAGCTTAAAGATGTGGCCAAAGGCAAAATGGTAAAGAGGTCACATACTGTAAAGCCAGCTCCCACAGCTTCAGGTATCGGTCTCAATCCAAAACCTTTTAATGTTTTTGTCATCATATGACATTTTTAAGGATCATTTATTTCTTGTTTCTCCTTCAGGTAAGGAGCTACGGGAATAATCACCATAACCCTGAAGCTCTAGCTCTGGCTTAGGGTTTCTACTTCAACATATCACTTTAACACCATGCTTAATCCCTTGCAA